ATATTTTACTTTAAAAATACTTGGAGACTGAACTCAGGATTGAAATTAGTCACACTTTTTTTTCCAATTTTATTGCTAAAAACCATAAAATCAAAACCCAACCCCAATCCAAATTCTAAGGAAAACTTGCTTAGCAAGTGCTAGACAGGTGAATTGCTGTCTGTGCTGGAGTTTGTGCAGTGTGTTTTGTAAGAGAACAAGTGGAAGGATAATTTCTAAAATCAGTGCAGCAAGGTTCATCAGAGTTCTTCTACTAGAGACCTCTAAATGACCCAAAGACTCCTTGTGCCTGTATAAGCCAAAATCAACACCTAAAACCTGGACCATAAATCAATTAGCTAGTTCAGGTCAGGAGGCACAGAGAGATAGTAGTCTGCAGTTGAGGAATAACCACTGGTGCACAAACTGCAGTTATTTTGCAGCTGTGTGATACAGCCAACCCGAAAATAACAGCAGCATAAACTAAAGTAGTGAAGTCCATCTGGAGTTAAAAGTTTGCAGCAAGTGATAAAAGAAATGCACTGCACACTTGCTTTGACTGAGAAATATTTGCTCTGCTAATGGCAAGAGAAGCAGTAATTTTTAAGTTAATTAGATTCAGCTTTTCTTTTAATACCATTTGGTGTACAGAGGAGGTTACCTAAAGGTGCAATTCTAAACCTCAAAAGAGAGGTTCCCACTGAGAGCGGGTGACCTTATGGAAATTACAAGATGTAATTCATCATAGTTAATGTGGGTTTGGACTACATGACTGGAGAGGTCTCACTCACATGTAGTTTGATAACAGGTTCCCTTTGTCAGTAATAATTTATACAAAAAAGAGAAGTTATAATATGCTTATTACCTCTCTTCCACATATAAAGCAGGTAATTTTTTTAGTCAGATGTCTGACATGTAATTTACAAGCATCTTAAAAACACATTTTAAAAGTGCATACAGTCCCCAGTTATTCATGGTAGTCTTAAATATTAAACTGAGATTTAAAACATAATTTTAATGTACTTGTAGTACATCAACATCTGCTCTAGAATGGAATCTCTCTTGTACTGTGTTCTTTACCTTATTTTTTATTTCCTTTAATGTGAACTTCAAAATTGGGCAGCTTTAACAAGCATCTACATTATAGGCACTTAAGTTCTAAGGTAATTGAGGTGCTGACAGCTGGTTAGACTTGTATTTAAACAAACTCCTATGCTGTAATGCTGCTCTGTTTGTGTTTGTATTATTAGAAAGACATTGGTTTTGGTCTTATTTATTGTGAGATTCTCATGTGGTGTTTCAATTACATGATTTCCTATTTTTTTCCATCCTGCTTTCTGTATGGAGTACCTGAGGACAGAAGGAGCATTTTCTTCATGTTACAGTTTGGCCCTGTTTCAATAGGAGGCTCCATGTTTTCTCTATTGTATTAGGTCCCACTTGGAAAACAAAGGGATTCCCTCCCCCTGCCCCCACCCAGGGAAGTTTTTTGTTGTGCTCAAGTAATTTTCACAGCTGCAGGAGATGGGAAGGTGATGTTTTTCCCAGTTTAAAGATGAGGAACTGAGGGAAGGAAAAGGTGTAGGCAGAAGTACGTAGAAGTATCTGATAACTTTAGGAATTCAGCATGAAAGATTTGGGCTCTGATTTTTCAGAGCATCTTCTGTCTTGAAAACAAAAAACTGACCTCAAATTCACTGTAAATACAAGTAGAGATCAGATGGGTCCTACTCTTAGAAATGCTTGAAACTGTGTCTCCACAGCTGTTAGTGACATTTTAATCTTTTAATCACTGTTGAGCTGTTGCAGGACTGTGGATAACTAGCTAAAAAAAGGGGATGAGAGAAGCTTCCAGTATGAATTATGTGAGCTTATTCTGTCCTGAAAGTTAAAAAAAATTTATCTGATGATATTTGAAGAAGTGTGTTACCACTGACTTTTGTTCTACAATTTCAAGTAGTATTTATCTTGCATCTTGTAAAACCTACCTGAATTTGTGAGCTAATACTTTCTTCTACCTTTTTAATTATGCCTCATATGCTGTGCTCATTATAGATGATGCAATAAATAGGACAGGGACAGGTCAGACTGTGCTATCCTTCATGGTGTAATCCTGATTGATCCATTCATCCATGACTTGAATGAGACATAGATCTTCAATTTTTTTCAGAGAAAATACGACACATAATATTATCATACTCTAAGGTGTATGCACAGACAGGCCAAGTTGAAGATCAGAGGCAACCTTCTCTGTCACTTTCTAAATTTAATGCTAGATTATTTTTAACCTTATTGCTCTTTTAACACTGAGGCTGCTTCTGTGCATGTAATAGCTTTCACTTTCTAAAAAAGCAAACTGCAGCTGAATTTGGGGAATCTTGATTTTGTGTGTGTGTGACTCAGTGTAGCTCTGCTTGTAGAGATGAATCTTAAATTAAACCATTTAATTGCTCTGTCAGGGGTTTGTTCCTTAAGCTGCCTCCATGTTCCCAGGGCAGAACTGCAGGGATTCTCTCTGCTTCCTCTTATGTCTGTATCAGTGGCCCTTAGCCTTTCTCATACAATGATTAACATGCTTGTCCTGTTTGTGAGTTTGTAGATGCGTGGGAAAACAAAACTGATGAAGTGTTTGATTTCCAGATGTTTAGCAATAAGCTTTGGAATTACTTTTCCTGTCCAGGCATCTCCTGAACCAATTGCAGTTTCTGCTTGCTAACCTGCAGTGAATCTTGAGTTTTTGTCCAGTCTCTTCTGGAGGTTATGTAAAATTCTTGCGTGCACTAGTCCTATTGTAAGGAATTCAAAGCATCTGCTAACTGTTGCATATGGAAATGGAATTTTTCCAATATGGAAAAATATTTTTATTTGATTCTTTTAAACCAGGTTCTAACAAGATTTATCATGCAAGTCCCTACTTCCTGAATTGGGCTTATTACATGTTCTTTCTTTCTCTTTTCCTACCCAAGATTTATTTCTTTTCACATTTGTCTGGTTGCCTTTGCAGCTTCTTATCTGTTATCTCTCTCAGCCTCTTCCATTCCCACCTTTTTGCTCAGTGGTTACATCACAGTTTGAATTTCTTTGTCTAGTCTAGCAAGTCCTAAACTCCCTTGAATCTCTCTCCATGCTCCTCAACGCTTATTTTGGTAAAAAAGAGTGACCTCAAGTCAGAATCGTGGTTTTTCTGCATCAGATTTAGGGACATTCTTCTGCTGTGCTGAACAGGACATGGATTTCACTCTCTTTTCTGGTGTATGGATCTGTGTGAATATCCCATTCGATTCCTGTGTGAATATCCACCTTATGTAGAGAAGTAATGGGAAGAGCTCTTGCTGATTTAGTTGAGTATGTGTGAAGTCTCTTCCATGCTGTAACTAATGGGACTGGGACCTCCTTGGAAGGATGGAAAAATTTCACCATTCTCCTTGGAGACCATTGGTCATGGCCAAGGGATTTGTCCTGGGAGAACTTGGGAGCCAAGTAGCAGCCTTGAGTCTGGGGAGAGTTGGACTGCAGGTTAAGAAAAGTTGGACTGCAGGTTAAGAAAAGGAAGCAGTGAGCCAGGCCTCAGGGCAGGACCAAAGACGTGCTAGGAGACAGAGGGGAGCGTGCAGAGCTGCCTGCACTGCAGAGTCACTGCCTCACCTGGAATTTGGCAGATCCCTACTGCCAGGCAGTGAGAATTCAGTGTGAAGGGGGAGCTTTATTTAATAAAGCCTTACTTGGTGCTCTCTCACCTATGGTTTTTGTCTCCCTAAAATTAACTGTGTTCTGCATGGTAGTCTGGAGGAATCCTGAATTTTTTTCTTTAATTTAAAGAAATTCTGAAACTCCGGGGTTTTTCTCCTTTCTTTTTTAGCAACTCTAGACACGTGCATATTCTAGCTGTCATTTTTGTGGATGCTGAAGTATTATGGATGGATTTTTGTGGGTGGCAAAATGTATATGCCTGGCACAAAAGTATTCCAAATTTGATATTTTTGCTCCCAAAGCACGGAGCTGTAAAAAATTCCTGCGTAACAAGCTTTCCAGAATTTTGTTACTCATGAGCTAAGCCATTTTGGCTGTTGGCACAGAGAAATTAGGGAAAAAAAGTGATCTTAGGCAGATAGTTGGCTTGGAAAATTGCATTCAGAAGCTTTGAAATTTCACAAGATTGTAAGGGTGGAAAGTAGCAATCTCTTACAGCAAAGATCCATAGTCTGCAGTGCCAGTGCCAAAAGCAGCATACAAGGCAATTTGAATAATATGCATTTTTGCATAATGTGATGTGGGTTTGAGCTGCAGCCTTGTGAGGAAAACATGTGTGAGATGTCCTTGTTCCCATCTCCTGGCTTCCTCCTGGTTCAGCACTGACACATGGGCCAGACTCTGCCATTAGGTGGTCACTGGTGTCTGTTTGCTCCAAGCTTCCACAAGCACTGCCTTCTAATTTGGGCTAAAGCTGGTGCTCCACTTGTTCCAGGTTGCCCTTGAGATAGAAAGTGTCAGACAGCTTTGATAAAGGGTTTTGCATATTGCTCCTTTTTGTGTTCTAAATCTCCAACCAACTTTTTAACTTTTAGCTGTGTTTAATAGCTTCAGCAGTTCTGAAAGAGGTGCTGAGACTGCTTTCGGTGGGGTTTATTGTTTGTGTATAAAAAGTAGTGGATATGATGAAAAATATAGCCCAGCATTTGTAATATAAAGACTTTTACCAAGTTAGGGAAATTAATTTAATTTATGGTGTCATCACTGTACTGAAGATTATACCAGTATTAATGAAAAGCTGCTATCTTAGTTAGTTTAATCATTTTAGCAACCCTAAAGCCATGCAGGGGTACAAAGTTCAGTATGTCTTGTCTTTAAAAGAGACAGTTCTGGTTTTGAAGCTATTTAAAGTGCTATTCTAGCAACAATTAGTAACAGGAATGCTAAAACTGTAACAATTTAGGCATGCTAATTGATTGTGTTGTGCAGGTAAGTTATGAATTCTTAATTATATTATTTTAATAAACTGTTCTGCTATTGGTTTTGTGTAGATCATCCTTTGCAGGCTGGAAGTGCCAAGTGCAGGATAATTCAGTGAATGATGTGGACTATTTCAGCTTCTTGTTTTCAACCCTTATAGGTAATCCATATGAATGTAATAATTCAGAATTAACAAAATGAAATTTGTTTTGATAGTCAATTACTGAATTTAATTTAGAGTAAATGGTTTAGTAAGTACTTCCTGAAGGTAATTCTAATCTTGTTATATATTTTTGATATGAGATTTTATTTTCTTGATCGGATTTTTGACACTCTGCTTTTACACTTTTCCATTTGGGCTGAATATTTGCATACTTTTCCTTTGTTCTAGCAACTTTTTCAGGAAAGTATGAAGAAAACCTAAATTTAGCATATGACATATAAACAGGATTTTTTTCCCTAGCTTGAAGTAAATGCCTTTTATTGGCTCATAACAATATAAATGAGTGCCTCTGGGATTTCCTGTGAACATGCTTACGCTCTTAAAAACATTCCATCAGAATAAAGTAATCAAAGTACGTTCAAGTGAGCTGGCCAAGGTCAGCGTGTGAGCAGAGCTACTTCTGCTACTCTATTCTTACTCAGCTATAAAAATAGTTGCATTCTGTGGTGATGCAACTTTGGGAAGTTACAGTGCTTAAAATGGCGTAATACTGCTGAGAAGTAACTCCCACTAACTTGTGGTGTGGTAAAAAATAGTGTGTTTTCTTTATCACCTCGTTTTTTTTTTATAATGTTCAGATACTTTGTTTTCAAAAATTACCTTTTTGTTGCTAAAATGGTAAAAAGAGTGCTGAACTGATAGCAGAGAAAATGAAAGCAAAGCCCAAGTAACTCTTGTGGAGTGGTCATCCTGTTTTACTAAGATATCTAATACCTATCTAGAAATAATAAGCCAAATGGTATTTTTTTAAATCCCTGAAGTTATAGTATTTATTACTAAGTTATTTGGAATACATGAAGTAGTTTGCATTATATCCATTTTTGTTATTTTTTTGGAGATACATATATTGAAAGTAGCATAACACAGGCCTCTTAAGGTGTTTTTTATATCACATTATAGTACTATGGAATTTTTAAAATATTTTTATTTTCTGTCAAAATTTGTACTTAATATACTTAATTATTAAACCAAGCAAGATCTTTTAAGAAAAAATTGTTATGTTGACATAGTGTAAAAGACAGTGTTTGTCAGTGATGCTGTTGAAGTAGAACACTATTTGGCTTGTTTTGTGATACTGTTGTACTGCTTCTTCTTCCCCAGGGTTTTCAAGAGAGGAGCTGACTAGTCTCCAGGGCATTAGAGGAAAACCACACATTAGCCAGACACAGCTTTCACCTATCCGTCTTTACCTAACTGATCTGGACCAGTTTTTACACCACTGGGCTGTGACAGAGGTAATACATCAACCCTAATTCTAAATGACAGCATACAAACTCTGAGTGCTCTCCATCCCTTTTCCACAGATGGCTAAATCCTGTCGTGATTTGAGTTGACAAAAGAATGAAAAATATAAAAGCTGTCAAACAACCAACATTTTTCTACAGCCATCAGATAATATTTTGAAGGAAGCTGCTTTAAAAGTTAAATGTTTAGACAGGTAGTATGCAAAGTAATACTCAAGGAAAACATTGGTAGAAACCTTGGTGGGAATTCTTAAGCACTAATATTAGGACCAGCAATATATTTTGGCTTTCAAAAATAAATTAATTGTAAAAATACTAATTATAAAGAGTTTTCCGGGAGAATAAGTGCCACTATTAATTTAGAAGCACTTGCATTAAATAAGATTTGAACTTTCAAGCAATATTAAATTGGCATTAGTCATTATTTTGAATAATTCCTGATTAGTTAACCAAAATATGCCGGGCTTAGAAACTTCACTCTGAATTCAGTACCTAACATCATAAGAGCTGAAAACTTAATTTGTTTGTCAGTTCTAAAAGGGATTTGAGCCACCAGATTTTATTTGAAACAGGTGCATTAGCTGTCTTTCTGCATCAGCTCTTTTTATTGTTTAGCTCACCAGAAACTACTTTGAGGTGTGAAATCATGTTGTAGTGACATGCCAATTTGACAGTATTTATGAAGTTGCAGTCCTGAATTCAGAAAGAAGAGCGAAACAGGTTTTAGTTGTGTGTTTTTTCATTCAAGAAAGCAATATTGTAGATGTTTTCTACTTCATAGTGTTTAAGTGATAATGTTCTGAAATTGATGCTAGTCTGAAATACAGATTGAATGTGTGCTGCTATATATTAGAAAGTATTTTAAGCATGACTGTTGTTTGGTACCATGACTCACACACATTTTTAGGTGTCCTACCTTCAGTCATTCAGCCTGTGGAGCAGTTGAACTTTCTAACTTGTTTTGCTTTGTCTCTTCTGGACAGTAATGAAGTGTTTTCTCAACAAAACACCTTTCTCCAGTATGGAGGGATCAGAATACTCTCTTTCCTGTTGCTCTGTGAATGCAGAGAGCAGCTATTTGTTTCTCAGAGTTAACATAATCCCATAGAGCATCTGAAGGATTTATGTACACCTTACCTGTTTCTAAAAATGTCACCTTTAGTGTTTTCTCCTTCCTCTTTTTGCTTCTATTCATAAATCTTTCAAAGTTGGCAGTGAAATAGGACTGTTCTCACAAAGGAAACAGTGAAATAGTTTGATTTCTTTTTTGTGCCTTTGGTTCCTGATAGCAAGTTTAAATCTTTTCTACCACAATGTTCAGTTTTTTGGTGCTGTCAAGGAGAGTCAGTATTTTCAGAAACTTGAGTCTCACTTTTCTAGAAGTACCTTTAGTCAGGAAAGAGACAAGGTGCTCTCCCAGGTTGTTAGAAGGGGATGGTGGTCAGTAAGCAAAGAGCTGGATATCCTTGGTTAGTAAAGAAAGATTTGGACATCCTGTGGAGCACTGCACTACTTCTGCACTTATGTGTCAGCCTGATGTCTTTTCTGGAGACTGTTTTGTAAAAGAATAGGAGCAAAAATTCATACATCAAAAATCTGTGTGAAGAAGGATGAGACCTTCTAGACTCACCTGATTTTGTGGGCTCTTAACCAAAGAGAGTTCTGAACTGTTGCATTTTCCCGGTGAGGGTGGTCAAATACTGGGATGAGTAGCCTAGAGACATTCTGGTTCCCATCTATGGATGTACTCAAAACCAGGCTGGACACAGTGCAGGGTAACTTGCCCCAGGTGGCTCCCCTTGAGCAGGAGCCTTGGATTAGAGGAACTTGAGGGTATTCCTTCCAACTCTAGGGATTCTGTGATTATTTGAAAGCTCCTTCTGAAACAAAACAGGTCTTTTTGTTTCACCATCAACAAATCTTTGTTATTTTTGCTTTTTAGACAAAATGGAATTCACAGTATGGATTAGGGTTTGTTGTTTTATTTGGTAGGTTTGTTACACTTATATTTGATCTAAAAGTCAAGCAGCTTCCACTAAAGGCCTGCCAGGTACTGCAGTGCTGTTTGGGGTGTTCCCCCCAGGTTTGCTAGTTTTTTTCCCCCATGGAATTTTGGTAACAAAAAAGTAGGGGCACCTCTTCAGTAGTTCACTTTCATAGTGGAGAAAATATAAGATAATCTTGCTTCTGATGTGGTAATAACGGTGGCATATCTGGTTGTGTTACAATGAGAAGTGATCATTGGTACTGAGGCAACCTCTTCCTTTTATGAATTGCAGAATTACATTCATTTTTCACTCATCTGGTTCTGATTTCAGATGCAGCCATAGATATGGTAAATGATACATAAACAAAACCATGTTGAAGCTCTTCAGCTTTTAGATTACTTTTTTCTCAGTTTAAATATCTAATACAGCACTGTTTTCCTTAGGTTTTGGGAGTTTTATCTTTTCCTCGTATGGGTACCATTCTCCAACCTCAAACATGTTGACCAATATGGTATATATTGCTCAGTTTCTGAAAAAAAAATTTCTGGGGACTGTAGTCCATTAAACCATTGGGAATTGGAGTATGGACAAATTTTAAAACCAACAAGGTAAAGAAGAAAAAAAGGGACAAAGGCAAGCTTGTTAAAAACCTTTGCATTCAGGATTTGCCACAAGCTGCACAGGAATGCTTTTTGTAGATCAAGTAGTTTTCACTAGGTACTGAACAAGCTAATCTGCTCTCAAAAGGGGGGAAAAAACCCCTAAACAGCAACAACAAAAAAGTCCCAGCCAGAAAAGCAAAGCCCAGAGTTGCAGGCTCTGGGAAGAAGAAAACTGCCAGGAAATCACGAGGCTCTCTTAGGGTGTCTGGAAGCATGTGTGATATGAGGGTACCGTGTATGTATGTTGAGTGTGAGGGAGGTAGGTTTGGAGGCTGCCTTCTTCCAAGTGGAGATAGTTCAAGGTGTGATAGAATTTTGGAGTCAAAATATTTTTAGCTGTAGCAGAAAATTGCTTTATTTAGATAGAGAAATGCTACAGGAAATAATAAACCCTGGCTTGAATTAGTCATGCCTTTGGTGGAATTTGGTACAGTGCAGAGCTTCTGAATGCTAACCTTTCATCTGTTCCCTTGCTGGATAAGGAAGGACAATGGTGATGCTGTAATGTTAAGCAGAATGTTTGTAGTAATTTTAAATACCTGCTAAATGAAAACAGTGCTCGTTGGCTGCAGATCAGGCCTCTACTCTGTGTTGAGAATTGTTTGTTTAAGAGTTCTCATTATGTAGTTGTAATTCAGGATTTCCTCTCAATGGAAAAGTATTTTAATGTGGGTGAAAATAAATAAGGAACTCTGATGGAATCAGAATTTGATGGCCTGGTTTCCTATCAAAAAATGAGACTACTGATCAGATTCCTATTAGTCCTTCCACCGTCTTCTTTCATTTCTTCCAACTCTAGTTTTGTCTAAACCATTCTTAGTTTTTAGCTCTCTGCTGAAAAGAATAAAGTTGCAAATACTAATTCCCTATAAGTTCTATGAAAATAAGCAGGTGAAAGAGAAAAAGCTCTAGATTAGATCAGGGTGGGTTATAACTGTTCCAGCATCCTGCTTGGCAGCACCCAGCCTGTAGGGGCTGTCTCTTGGCCAGTGGAGTGTTGGGATTATGAGGCAGCAGCAGCAGGGGTGGTGGGACTGAGGAAGGGTCCCAGGTGGGAATCTGGAGGCCACAGCTTGTTGGCCTTACTGCTCACTGCTTCACTTTGTTTCCCAGTGCAGGGAAAGGCAGTCCCACCTTCCTGTCCATAGCTGTGCAATGGGTGAAGTGTGTTTCAATGGGTAAAGAGCTGGAAGAGGGAATTTCATGTATAACGTATGCCTGTCAGAGATTTGGGAGAAAAAGCAGTGTGCCTCTGGAGAAAGTGCAACTTCTGGAAAGGAAAATAGTAACTTGAGGCATTTTCAAACAGCAGTTTGGACTTCTGGGGTGTTATTATAGCCAGGGCACTTGGTAGGATAACAATAACAAATGCACTTGTGGATAACAATGCACTTGTGGATCACAATAACAAACGCACTTGTGATAGGAAGTAATGCTTTTAGGTAGTTTTTAACAAAACCTGTTTTCAGATGGATATTGTTTGTAATTTGCTTTTCTTTTGACTAGAGAGTGGTTTGGAATTGGAATCGTAGCAATCTGAAACCATGTTATTTTTTTGAAGCTTTTAAATAGTGGTGATTTTCAGTTAAGAAGCAATTCTTCAGAAAAGTGTCTCTTTAGAGCTATGCAAAGCAGCATTTAAAGGTTAGTCTTCATGATTTGTCTAAAAGAGATGTTAAATGTGGGAACTTTGGTTCTTTTTCTGGAGGAACTTCTGCTTAAAATTACTTCTGTCTTGTTGAAGCCAATTATTTAAAATCACCCCCCTGTAGCTGAAATAAATGGGACTCCAGAATAAATGGTTGCAGCCCGAGGGAAGAGCTTCAGCCTTGGCTCATTTTAACTGTGCCCATAGTGTTTGTCAGTGATATTGTTCACTCCCCTGTAATTGAATTGCTCTGCCAGGATGGAATGAAAAAGTGCCCAGAGAAATGAAGAGTTTAACAAGGTAGCAGTGTATACATGGTAATTTCTGTTGTAATATTTGATGTTTGTGACGGTCGAACATTTCAGAGGGGGAAAGCAAATGATAATTTGAGGCTTGGCTTGAAGTCGAGATTCCAGAGCTGTATCGGGCCCACAGCTAATTCAAAGAAATAAAATATTCAGCCAATTGTTTAAAATGTTTAAGAGCAAACACTAGGGAAGGTCAGCTGCTTTTAAAAGCAGACTTGAATTCAAAAACTTGGAGATGCAAGTAGTGTAATACAGTAATCTGTGTCCAAACCCGTTCTGTCTTATAAGTGAAACACAGTTGGGAAGGCTGGATCTGCACAGGTGTGCTATGAAAAAATTACTGCAAATCAATAAAGATTGCAAGTCAGTGGATATTAATTAAAAG